TTAATGCGACATTACATTTGAGAATTACAAGTATTACAGGTGAACAGGGGAGATGTGCCTCAGGATATGGAGCCCTTAGCTGGTAATGAAGAATGTATTGAGAGCCCAAGCAATTATGGAGCCACTCATTACCAGTTTGTTAATGCTACCTCACAACTGCAGTTTGATGATGATGATCAGCACAATGATCATACAGGTAAAGATCAGGTATTACCTATTCATGGATCTTGGGATCATTTTCTATTTTCAAGAGAGCATGATCAATTATTTTTGCTGCATTCAGATAATTTGTATTGAAAGCAACAACAACTAGTATTCTAGTAATCACAGGTCTGCAGTAGCTGGTCTATAGTATTACTTTTTTTACTTGCATTGCTTCCTGAATATGATGATCCATAAAAAACTGTCATATTTTCAAATTTTATTGATAATTTCTGATGAATTGCAGTAGTATACAGTATTAAGTGTCCTCTTTAATTTCTTACACATTTTGCTGTTACAGTGCCCTTTTTACACCCATTCTTAAAATCATCAGATTTTTATTCTTTATAGGAGTCAGGAAGTCACCATCATCCACATCCATCTTGGATTCCAAGCTTGGTAAGGCACCCAGGAGGAGCACCACTCCACGACCTACAGGTTTGTTGTATATTCCTTTATTAGATGAGTACAGAATCTAGTTATACTGATACTAAATTATATGAGAAAAGATAGTATAATTGTAAATAATTTTGATACAGAAAGTTCAATTTTAAAAAATTAACTCATGTTTGATATTACAGTATTAACAAGAAAGCTATATTTACTTATAAAAAATATGCACAATACATAAATAATGATTTTCCTTTAATAACATTCCTCCATATATATGAGGAATAACTTTTTTCACATTATAGATCTGCCACTAACTCCCATTGATGATACCGACTTCAGTTCAAAAAGGATTCTTCGTTCTGATCCAAAAGAGAAAATGCAGGTATGCATTATCAAACCTGGTTACATTTACTGTAGCCAAGTTTGAGGTATGTATGGTACTAGGGAAGCCAGTTGTTACTGTGAGAGCTGGTCTTAGTCTTTATTAAAGGGTTGTATTCCTGGGGAATTTTTTAAATGTTTGAACTTTTTGAGATGAGTTTTTTGAATTCTTGTGGAAAGATTCCAACAAAACAAGCAAGAAATAATTACCTTTTATATGAATGTGAAACAGAAGTTAAACATTTTTCACTTGCCAGATTTGCTAGTCTTCTTTCATATGAACAACCTCAGTAAAATACTAGGTAAATCTTAGATTTCTACTGACATTCATTATACAGTCTCTTCTCACATAAAGACCACGTTAGTAAACGAATTTATCGCTAAGCGAGGAGCATACTATAATGGTAGTGGGTTTGTGTCAGCCATCTTTGATATTGTTTTAATGTCACCTTTGCACCATTTATAACATTTTTAGTATATTTTTAAATGTTTATATAGTAGTGTACTGTATATTGTAATAAACAAAATAGAGGAAATCACCTCTAATATACATTATTTAGGTATGCATACTGGTCAGAGAGCCCGTCATAAGTCCGAGTCATCTGTAAATGAGCACGTCGCTAAGTGAGGAGAGACTGTATATTAATTTTTACTTTCCTTTGTGTTTCTTAATAGTTAAAAATTTTCAGAATCGTCCTTCCATGAAAGTGTTCGCTCTAACCCAGAGGCCAACTTTAGGTTCACCAGACTCTGATCCAGATGTTCTTGGTTACCTGGATCACACACCAGACCCCTTGCCTGATACAAATGATAGTAAGTTCATTATTTTTGGTGAGAAAATTGAAAAAAAAAAACATCAGAAATGTCATATTCATCATTGTGATGTCTGTGCATTGTTGGAAATATAATTTGCATAAAATAGATGAATGTACAACATTTAGAAACTTATATTAGGATACATTTTGCTCTCCTGGTGAGCCAAACATATTCAAGCAATGGTTCCCTAATGTTGTACATTGGTCTGTTTTATACATTTTTTTTTTAACACACCGACCATCTCCCACTGAGGCAGGGTGACTTGAAAAAGAAACATTTTCACAATTTTTCACGCTATCACTGTCTTGCCAGAGGCATGCCACTGTGACAGTTTAGATGGTACACTGTCACTGTCTTGTCAGAGGCATGCCACTGTGACAGTTTAGATGGTACACTATCACTGTCTTGTCAGAGGCATGCCACTGTGACAGTTTAGATGCTACACTATCACTGTCTTGTCAGAGGCATGCCACTGTGACAGTTTAGATGGTACACTATCATTGTCTTGTCAGAGGCATGCCACTGTGACAGTTTAGATGGTACACTATCATTGTCTTGTCAGAGGCATACCACTGTGACAGTTTAGATGCTGCTCCAAACAACAAATAGCTAATGAAATGAGTGAGCAATGGTCAGTGTGTTCACTTTCTTTTTTTTCACCCTGCCTTGGTGGAAAACTGCACGTGGTAAAAATATTTAATCATGCATTATACATTCCATTTACTTAGTCACGAGATTCATATTCAGTTGTGTATCCTGTTTGGGGGACATCAGTGAGTATGAATGGTATTACTCGTTAGGTGTTGGATATTATTGAATGCAGTATTTTTAATGCATTTTTCCTTCTTATAATAGACTTTATTAGAACCCATTACTCTTCAGTTGATAAACAGTTTATATATTGTACAGTATGCTGTATAAATAGTATCATCTGGCCCTGATAATACAGATGACATGAAAACAGTTGGAGTACATTAACTGATATACTACAGTATAGGAAACAACTAATTTAGCCCTTTCTGTTTAGATCTATGCCTCCTATTGTGATAAAAATTTATATATAAACATTATCACTAGGTATAGCACTGTTTATGAAAACTCTTCATGTATTGACTGCTGATGTAGAAAAAAACTCATTGACTTCCACCTGTGATGACAAGGTATACCCCTGACTTAAACCTGGGTTTGTGGTAAAATATAATTATTGTAGTGACATCATACAATGCCACTCTTTCTTATCTTATAACTCTGGGTCAATCTACGATTGACAATACATGATACAGGTGGGCCTCGCTTATACAGCAGGTTAGGTTCCAGGCTTCTGCTGTAAAGTGAAAATCACTATAAAGTGAAACATAACCTTTTTCACTTTCAAATGCATATAAAAGCATGATATGTTTACACTAGAATATATTAAGTGATCAATAGAGCTAGGCCTAGAAAATGCATATACAGTACACACATTACTTTTTTTTTTTTTTAACAAGTCGGCCGTCTCCCACCGAGGCAGGGTGACCTAAAAAGAAAGAAAATCCCCATAAAGAAAATACTTTCATCATCATTCAATACTTTCACCTCACTCACACATAATCACTGTTTTTGCAGAGGTGCTCAGAATACAACAGTTTAGAAGTATATACGTATAAAGATACACAACGTATCCCTCCAAACTGCCAATATCCCAAACCCCTCCTTTAAAGTGCAGGCATTGTACTTCCCATTTCCAGTACACAAGTCCGGTTATATAAAAATAACCGGTTTCCCTGAATCCCTTCACTAAATATTACCCTGCTCACACTCCAACAGCACGTCAGGTCCCAAAAAACATTTGTCTTTATTCACTCCTATCTAACACGCTCACACACGCTTGCTGGAAGTCCAAGCCCCTCGCCCACAAAACCTCCTTTACCCCCTCCCTCCAACCTTTTTGATTACGACCCCTACCCTGCCTTCCTTCCCCTACAGATTTATACGCTCTCCATGTCATTCTACTTTGATCCATTCTCTCTAAATGACCAAACCACCTCAACAACCCCTCTTCAGCCCTCTGACTAATGCTTTTATTAACTCCACGCCTTCTCCTAATTTCCACACTCTGAATTTTCTGCATAATATTTACACCACACATTGCCCTTAAACAGGACATCTCCACTGCCTCCAACCACCTCCTCGCTGCAGCATTTACAACCCAAGCTTCACACCCATATATGAGTGTTGGTACTACTATACTTTCATACATTCCCTTCTTTGCCTCCATAGATAACATTTTTTGTCTCCACATATACCTCAGTGCACCACTACTTACCTTAAAATATTTTTGTACTTAGCTTACAGTGAGTGGTGAATATATTTATTGTAGGTCGCCTGAATAAATGAAGAATGGATGTAATTGAAAACTGCTGTATTAGTGAAATGCTGTAAAGTGAAGTACTGTAAAGCAGGGGCCTCCTATACCTTGGCAATGAAAGATGTCTAATCAGTAATTTAATATAGTGAGAATTTTATATGTTGCAGTAAGAACACAGTAAACAGGTGATATCACAATATGCAAAATAACCACTGTGAAAAAAATACTGAATTTCCAAATGCTTTCATGATTTCTCACACTTGGAAATTTACAATTTTTTCATAGTGATTATTTTGTATTTTATAATGTGTGTAGAGTATTATAGATGGCAATGTTATTTATTATGTATACTTTGTATTCTAGGTGATGGCTCACTGCCTTACTGCAGAGTGTATGAGACAAGTAAATTCATAGAGTTGATGCCAGGAGCCTTCATTCCTAACCATAAGGTGCAGCTACAGATCAGTAAAGTTCAACCTCTCCAATCCCACATACATATCTTCAATAATCACATGTAAGTCAGGCATTTAATCCCTGCATTACATACAAGTCATTTGTAGATAGGCTCAGTAATGAGTAAGCTGTACGTACTTTTTTTTTTCTTTCTACCTCAACAGCTATCTCCTCCCAAGGCAGAGTAACAGTTATAAAGAACAAAAGTCACTATACTGTGGCTGGAACAGTTTACAACTTAACTGTGGCAGTTGTACCTTTAATAATGATTCAGCATGGACTGAAATGTTTAAAGCTTCCTTTCCAAATTGCAAGTAACTTTTGACCAGTATAATTATAATTGCTGTAACTTTTATAATAAACAATATTGTAATATAAAGTAATATAATCCTTAGAATAATCGCAAAATTTTTCGAGATTGTTCTTCTTTCAACATACCGTCCATATCCCACTGAGGTGGGGTGGCCCAAAAAGAAAAACAAAAGTTTCTCTTTTTAACTTTAGTAATGTACACAGGAGAAGAGGTTACTAGCCCCTTTCTCCCAGCAATTTAGTCGCTTCTTATCACACGCATGGTTTTCTAGATTTTATAATGAAGAATAAATTCTGGAGACTAGCAGTAACAATAATAATAATATTTTCCGAAAGAAATGCATCTCACATTATTTGGAAACACAGTAAGGCAAATGCAGCAAAGGCCAGGAAAATGACAGTGGATTATGAGAACTTGAAGCAAGAGAAACTAGGGAATGGTGGTACTGTACTTTTCAAGTCACTTGTAACCTCATTACTTGAATATTTTTCTGTGTCCTCACAGGACTTTTCAGTGCAGGAGAGATAGAGGAGCTGGAAATATAAAAAGGTCATATACTGCCTGTATAGAATTAGTGAAATATTTAACACTTGGGGATGCTTCAAAGCTCTTGGATTGTTCTTTCTGGAACACAGATGAGAGGTATACCTGATAATATACACAGTACATGGAAGATAATTGTGAGTCTGTTTCCTAACCTGCACACTTGTATAACAGGTTGCTGGAGTGAAATTTTTTTTTTTCAATAGACTGCCATTTCCCATCGAGGTAGGGTGGCCCAAAAAGAAAGACAAATGTTTCTCTTTTTAACTTTAGTAATGTATACAGGAGAAGGAGTTACTAGCCCCTTGCTCCTGGCATTTTAGTCGCCTCTTACGACACGCATGGCTTACAGAGGAAGAATTCTGTTCCACTTTCCCATGGAGATAAGTGGAAATAACAAGAAGAACTAGTAAGAGAGAAGAAAACCCAGAGGGGTGTATATATATATACTTGTACATTTATGTGTAGTGTGACCTAAGTGCAAGTAGAAGTAGTAAGTTGTACCTGAAATCTTGCATGTTTATGAGACAGAAAAAAGACACCAGTAATCCTTCCATCATGTAAAACAATTACAGGATTCTGTTTCACACTCACTTGGCAGGATGGTTGTACCTCCCTGGGTGGTTGCTGTCTACCATCCTACTACCCAGGTGAAAGATATTTATCATTTACAAATACAGTTTGGATATTAATCATAAAATGTAAGGAATACTATATGTAAATACTTTATTATGACTTATTCTTTGTCTCTTTGCTCATGTACTGGTATTTCACTTTATTTTACCCTCATTCTACATAGGTTGGTGATTAATTTGGAGCATGGAGATTATAATTGGACAGTGCAGAAGAAAGTAAAGCAAGTAGCAACCCTGCACAGTGTGTTGCTGCTGCTTAGGTGGGTTGCATGAGTGCTCTCTGCTGAGCCTCTATCTGTACTCTGATTCACCAGACATTCTCATGTTCTGTTTGTTAAACTAATGACTATAGTGTTAACTATGAACCTAATATCAGTTAATCTTTTATGTACTCTTGCCTCTTTGCCACTATAATTTTATACTTACAAATTTTACCAGTAACATTGATTACATATACACAGTAATAATGTACATTATTATTGTGTCAAATGAATTATAATACTGTACCTAGGTTTTTGGAGCACATGTGTATTCATGCAATACCTGTTTACAATTACTGTAAGTTCACTACTTGAGTTTACATGTATGAACTTCAGCTCTTGTCCATTTAAAAAATATACAAATACCTATGCTGTTATATATTTAAATTGTATTATAAATTTCAATTCTGTTAGCAGTTTAATGCAAGTTGATTGTGTCACCTAACAAGCATGAGAAATTTACAGTGATTTTTGCTTTCTAAATGCACTGTGTATTAGACCATTAGTAGTAATCGTATGCATCTAATGCAGAACAAGACTGAAAATGCCGGCAGCAACCAGAGACACGAGACGACGCAGGCAAAGTATGCGGCAGCAAATTAAGGAAGCTGAAAAAGCAACTAATACACCAGATGGGGAAAATTCTACCACAAACAGTAGGCAACTCAAGTATGTTTTGCAAACATTACCGCAGTATTACAGTTCTAACATTTGGTTGTGACTAGTTTATCTTGGGCTCCCATAAACTCTGAATTGGATATGCATTGTACTCTGTGTACAGCTGAAGAAAAAAGTTTCTCCTGACTCTCTCTGCTTGGCAGAAGTGGTTTCTGGCAATTCAGATGTAGTAAAGAGATGAGTAAAATCTGCTTTCATGAGTGAATTTACTCAGCTTGTAGTGATAGTGGTGATTGGAGTGACAAAATTAGTTGCCAATACATTCTCTGTCTATTTACAAGCATATTTATGTTCTTGCATATATGAGGTGATTTAGATAATGATGGATGTATTGTATCATGAGTTTATTTTCCTGACTGATTAATCATTTCTGTTTACAAACCTTGTTGATGTTGCAGTTTCTTCAGCATACAATTGTATGTGTCAGTCATACTTACAGGTGAATGTGCAATCCAGCTTTTTGAACAATCATTCACTAGAGAATCTAATTATGATTGTTTTTTAAAACATCTAGTGCTAAAAATGTCATTATAGCTCTGATCTGTTTACATATTATATGGCAAAGCAATTAGGAATAACATGTGCTTGCCTACCATGGAGTGTAAAAATTTGCACACAATATCTTTCTTAATATTGTGTGCTACAAAGAACCCATAACCACATATAACTACACTATAATAATTTTGTGAATAAATTCATAACTGTGTCAACTTATTACTATAAATCTGAAGTTGAATTTGAAAATACATAGCTCCTTAACATTGTAACTTTCATAGAAAACAAAAGTTGGGGCATCTAATCCTTTGACTACTGCCCATAGGATGGGTATGAGTGTAAGATGAAGATGTCAAACTAAACTAATTATGCCCATTTGTGATGACTGCAAGTATACTCCAATTTATACCTAGGATTATGGAGAAATTTGATCATTGTAAGAAAAGCCCCCTCCGACACCTATCATCCTCTCACCTGGTTCAGGTCGATAAATGGCTTGTAGTATACAGTACTGTATTTATTTTGATATTTTCTTGCATAGGTTTAATCCTTTCTTTTAAAATAATAATATTTTTTGTTATTATTATTATGATTATAATTGTTTAACACACTGGATGTCTCTCACAAAGGTAGGTATTATTATTATTATGACATTATTATTGTTATTATTTTTTTTTTTAACACATCGGCCGTCTCCTACCGAGGCAGGGTGACTCAAAAAGAAAGAAAATCCCCAAAAAGAAAATACTTTCATCATCATTCAACACTTTTACCTCAGTCACACATAATCACTGTTTTTGCAGATGTGCCCAGAATACAACAGTTTAGAAGCATATATGTATAAAGATACGCAACATATCCCTCCAAACTACCAATATCCCGAACCCCTCCTTTAGAGTGCAAGCATTGTACTTCCCATTTGCAGGACTCAAGTCCGGCTATATAAAAATAACCGATTTCCCTGCATCCCTTCACTAAATATTACCCTGCTCACACTCCAACAGCTTGTCATGTCCCAAATACCATTTGTCTCCATTTACGCCTATCGAACACGCTCACGCACACTTGCTGGAAGTCCAATCCCCTCGCCCACAAAACCTCCTTTACCCCTTCCTTCCAACCTTTTCAAGGACAACCCCTACCCCACCTTCCTTCCCCTACAGATTTATGCGCTCTCCATGTCATTCTACACTGATCCATTCTCTCTAAATGACCAAACCACCTCAACAACCCCGTCTTCAGCCCTCTGACTAATACTTTTATTAACTCCACACCTTCTCCTAATTTCCACACTCCAAATTTTCTGCATAATAGTTACACCACACATTGCCCTTAGACAGGACATCTCCACTGCCTCCAACCACCTCCTCGCTGCAGCATTTACAACCCAAGCTTCACACCTATATAAGAGTGTTGGTACTACTATACTTTCATACATTCCCTCCTTTGCCTCCATAGATAACGTGTTTTTGTCTCCACATATACCTTATTCTTTCAACAAACCAGCCGTATCCCACCGAGGCAGGGTGACTGAAAAAAAAAAGTTTCTTTTTTTACTTTTGTAATGTATACAGGAGAAGGGGTTACTAGCCCCTTGCTCCCTGCATTTTTAGTCACCTCTTACGACACGCATGGCTTACAGGGGAAGAATTCTGTTCCACATCTCCATGGAGATAAGAGGAAATAAACAAGAACAAGAACTAGTAAGAAAATAGAAGAAAACCCGGGGGGGTGTGTATATACAGGGTGTCCACAAAAACACTGATTTCAAACAGGTATAACATGTAACTTTATTGTAATAATCTTTCACAGTTAGTAGCTTCAGATGCAGGATTTCATTCAATTTCATGTGGTATAGAGTAGCATTAAAGCTACTCAATGTGAGGCCTACTGGTTGCTCGGCAAACATCGATACAATAGTTCAGTTCGGTCCAGACTCTCGGCAGTATATCTGGAGTTATCATGCGAACTGCTTCAGTGATTGAATTTTTCAGCTCCTCCAGGGTTGCAGGTAGTGGTGGTATGTAAACTGTGCTCTTCATGTGCCCCCAAAGAAAGAAGTGACAAACAGTTAGGTCTAGTGACCTCTGCAAGTGGCCCGTGAGGTCACCAGACCTAACTGTTTGTGACTTCTTTCTTTGGTGGTACGTGAAGAGCACAGTTTAGGTACCACCACTACCTGCAACCCTGGAGGAACTGAAAATTTCGATCACAGAAGCAGTTCACATGATAACTCCAGATATGCTTCCGAGCATCTGGACCGAACTGGACTATTGCAACGGTGTTTGCTGAGCAACCAGAGGGGCACGCATTGAGTCCCTTTAATGCTACCATATACCACATGAAACTAAACGAAGTTCTGCATCTGAAGCTACTAAATGTGAAAGATTATTACAATAAAGTTACATGTTATACCTGTTTGAAATCAGGGAGTGTTTTTGTGGACGCCCTGTACGTATATGCTTGTACATGCATGTGCAGTGTGACCTAAATGTAAGTAGAAATAGCAAGATGTACCTGAAATCTTGCATGTTTATTAGACAGATAAAAGACACCAGCAATCTTACCATCATGTAAAACAATTACTGTACAGGCTTCCATTTTACACTCGCTTGGCAGGATGGTAGACCAACAGAGATATCAGAGCTTAATGAGTTATTAACCATTATTATTATTTTTACAAATACATAAGGAGATGCTTTTTTGATAATATTTTTTTACACAATCTGTGTTATTATTTTCAGAATTATATGTATTTTCTCCATGGGGAAGAGGAACAGAATTCTTTCTCCATAAGCCATGCGTGTCGTAAGAGGTGACCAAAATGCCGGGAGCAAGGGACTAGTAACCTCTTCTCCTGTATGTTAAAAGGAGAAACTTTCATTTTTCTTTTTAGGTTGCCCTACCTCAGTGGGCTGTGGCTGGTTTGTTGAATTTTTTTCTTTTTTTCATATTTCATTTGCTTATTATCCATGTATTGCACTCAGCTGCATTAACATCTAATCTTCAGTTACTTAAGGATTATCAGATGTTTAAAATTGTAATACATAATAGGTTGGTAGACAGTAACCTTCTGGGGAATTTGAAGTGGAAACCTGTTAAACATGTTGCACACTGGCAGGATTGCTAGTGCGTATGACTATGTAAGACTGACTAATTAATCTTACTTTTTGTTTTTACTTATATTCATTATACACTTAGTTTTACTTTTCTGCAACTTTCTTAATAGTTTTTAATACTGTAATTCTTTTTGCAGTAAAATATTCTTTCTGATTTAGAAGGCCTGGTCTCAGATTAGGCCTCAGGGTCAATGATTCCTGGAACTATTATCAGATGGCAGATATAATAGATGTTGTGTTTGACAGATATCCTCGACGAGCCCTGCAGACAATGGATGACACTGTTAAAGCAGACCTGGAAACCTACCTCAAAAATCTTCTTCGACACTCTCTCTTCCGCAACCACCAGGCAGTACTGGAATTCTTTGAGGTATTTTATTTTTTAGAACTTCTATATACTTTATATTTTCTTTTTGCTAGTGCTATATTTACAATATTTTTTAATATGTCACCATTGCTGTCTCTCACTTATTTTCCTGTGTATTTCCACCCATCAGCATGCAGTCTTTAAAGTGTAGAGTTATTTTTTTTGTATTATTTTTAACACATCAGCAGTTTCCCACCAAGGCAGGGTGGCTCGAAAAAGAAAAACTTTCATCATCATTCAGTCCATCACTCTCTTGTCAGAGGCATGCTTACACTACAGTTATAAAACTGCAGCATTAACACTCCTCCTTCAGAGTGCCGGCACTGTACTTCCCATGTCCAGGACACGAGTCCTGAGTAAATTTAATATAGTTATTATTGTACAGTAGTCCCCCTGTATCTTTGGGGGATATGTTCCAACAGTACAACAGGGTTTCTATTGTACTGTAATTCAAAACTAAATATTGTAATGCATGTTCACATTGATTGTAATCCAAAGAGAACATATTGCTATTGTAATAATAATAATAAATTTATTTCCACATGTTGCATATGGTAGTTTTTACGAAACTGGATAACAATTAGTAGCACACATGGAGAGGTCCTGGTTTTACAGAGCATTTCAGGCAAGCTTAAACCTTTCCTAAGGCTAGCAGAACATAACAGATCATTTATACAAAAATGTTAAAGGGTTAATTTTCAGTACAGTAATTTGCTTTAGTTTTTGTCGAGTTTTAATTCATATCTCAATTTTCCTGAAACAGTACAGTGATATAAAGTATGTACAGTTACTCTAGATCTGGTACACAGTAAAATGTCATGTATACTTAGTGTATTTGCTATATAAACACAGATGCCTGTTGCAGATATCTCCTGTATCATTCATCAGTGAGCTGGGATGCAAGATCAAAGAAGGCTATGTAAGAAAGAGGACTGGTAGTGGGAATCCACATGGTTGCTGTAACTGGTGAGGGTGTTAGTAGTATGCAGTATCTTTGTGTGTTACTGTTGTCCTTGTACACTGATAGCTTGTGTGTTATTTTCCTTGGTACTGAAAGATTGTGGTAATGAAAAATGTGTTCCTGCTGATCCCAGATCTTTCTTAAGCACCCAGCAATAGTTCAGTATTCAAAAAGAGGTTTATATGCTTAACCTTAGAAAAGTAACCTCAGATGAGGCTTGAGATTATTGCTGATTTTATTAGGGATAGTAGTGAAGAATCAGAATCTGAATGATGTCCAACTGGCATGATTGAGCATTTTTAGTTAGTCAAAATGGCCTTCAACATGGTCACTCTAGCGAAGATACAATTTTGATTTATTAGTTTTAGTTCAATTTTCTTCTGTAATACATTTTCAAATGTTTGTATGATCAGTATATCTAGTTAGAGGGGTTACATAACAATCCCACTCAATTTTTACAAAACGGTTATACTGTATGTATGATGCATTACAATTTTTTTTTGTGCAGATTTCTTCATTTTATTTATCAGCCTTATTATTGTATGTAAATTTGTAAAGAACTTCAGTTGGTAAAGGTAATAAATGTAACACAAGAAAGCATGAATTTTAGTCATCTGTTATCATTTCTTTGAGTTTTATGTTTATAATCTTTGTCATCTTCATTTTCTTCATTGTCATTGTCTGCTGTAGAAGTTGCTCATTTGTTTTTATTAATTGCATTGTTTTAATTTGCAGTAGGTGTGATGTGACACTTGTAATTTTGTTTTTTTCCCTCGACAAACCGGCTGTATCCCACTGAGGCAAAAGAATATTGTATGGAAATAGACAGGCATTTTTGGACATGATTAAAAGCACAGGAGCTAAACAGGGAAATTAATGATGTATAGTTATGGCATACTTTAATGGAATAATGCATGTATATGTTACAAAAAGTATGCATAGTATTTACTAAAGTAATTGCTCAAAGGCTCATCCAGAACTAATTTTAGATTTCTCTGATTATTTTATCAATTTTAGAGGATTCAGAGATAATTAGTCTTTACTTTTTTAGGTGTTTAACATCATGCGCAGAGAAATATAAACGCCGATGGCTTGTTTTGAAGGAGACGTGCCTCTTCTTCCTGGCCCCAGAGACTGGCCAAGTGCGCACTGTAATGCTTATGGACTCTGGGTTCCAGGTGTCTCAAACTTACAGACTAATTGGCTCTCGCAATAGTCTCCTCATTTCTAATCTTTCCAGGTATGTTGCTTCATTCATTAACAGATTAATATTAATTAACATTTTGAAGCCTTTAATAGTTTATACTAGTTTTGAAAGAGTGCCAGATGGTGTTGAATCATATTACAGATATGTGAGTGACCAAAATGTATGAAATAAATTTTGCGTAATTTTATAACAACTGTGTACTTACATAAATACATTTGTTTATATATAACCACAGTACAAGATTATTACTCACGAAATCGTAATGACTCAATTGCAAACAAACCATGGAACGGGCGGCAATTGAACCTATGGCACGGGTCTGGAGTTTTAGGACTCGCTTGCAATGAATTCAGTCCCTGCCGTTCCATGGTTTGTTTACAAGATTATTACTCTGCAGGTTCAATATTTATTGTTGGATGAATTATTATTTCTAAATATGACTAAGACTGAATATTGCTTATATGTTTCTCACAGATCACTGATGATAAAATGTGATTCAGAATCTAGCAAGAAAGAGTGGTATACTGTCCTCACTAAAACACAGCGTAAATATGGTGAGTTATGTTTGTAATTCTGATTTTAGATGTTGCATTTTTTGTGGTAGTTTTCTATCTTTTGTTGTTGATAAGGGTCTCTCCATCATATTAAATGGAAAATATAGTAATGATATAGCATTTTCTTAATCCTTTGACTGTTTCGGCCAGTGTTTCGGACGTATATATACTCAATAATTCTAGCGGCTTCAAATCAAGCAGGAGAAAGCTGGTAGGCCCACATTTGAGAGAATGGGTCTGTGTGGTCATTGTGCACTGTATAAAAAAAATCCTGCAGCATGCAGTGCATAATGAGAAAAAAAATGACCATGTTTTTGGATTAAAATGCTGACTTTGAGGTGTATTTTCGTATGGTATTTGTGGTTGCATTCTCATTTTCTTGGTCTCATTTGACAGAAATAGAGATGATTTTGATTAGTTTCACGATGAAAACGACCTTGAAATTGAGCTCAAAGTAGCGGATATGTTCGATTTTTACCAATGTTCAAGAGTAAGCAAATCACACCACACGTCCAGTACATGTCAACTGGGGAGTCTAAAATGGAAAACTAATTGGTATCTTTGAAGTCTTTGATGCGTAGACTGTTGATTGAGTAAGTAAGTAAGTAAGTTTATTCAAGTACAGTGGACCCCCGGTTCGTGATACTAATCCGTTCCTGAGAGCTCATCGTAAACCAAAAATATTGGAAAGCGAATCAATTTTCCCCATAAGAAATAATGGAAATCAAATTAATCCGTGCAAGACACCCAAAAGTATGAAAAAAAAACTTTTACCACATGAAATATTAAGTTTAATGCAATAGAATAGTAATTACAATAACAACAATAACAATAAGTAACAATAAATAACGAAAGAATAATTGACACTTACCTTTAATGAAGATCTGGTGATGATTGATGGGATGGGAGGAGGGGAGAGTGTGGATGGTGTTAGCATTTAGAAGGGGAATCCCCCTCCATTAGGACTTGAGGTAGCAAGTCCTTTTCCAGGGTTACTTCCCTTCTTCTTTTAATGCCACTAGGACCAGGTTGAGAGTCACTGGACCTCTGTTGCACAACATATCTGTCCATAGAGGCCTGTACCTCTCATTCCTTTATGACTTTCCTAAAGTGGTTCACAACATTGTCAGTGTAATAGTCACCAGCACGGCTTGCAATAGCTGTCTGAGGGTGATTTTCATCCATGAAGGTTTGCACTTCAAGCCACTGCCTAGCCTTTTCACAAATGATTGCTTGAGAGATGCTTTCTCCTGCTATCTGTTTTTCATTTATCCACACCAATAACAGTCTCTCAACATTTTCTAACACTTGCGGTTGCTGTTTGGTAATCACAGTTGCACCTTTTGCAAGAACAGCTTCCTTGATTGCTGTTTTCTTGCTCACTATAGTAGAGATGGTTGATTGGGGTTTACTATACAACCTGACCAGCTCCGACATACCAGGAAAAAATTATAGAGGAATAAGTTTATTGAGTATACCAGGAAAAGTGTAGGGTAGGGTTATAATTGAAAGAATTAGAGGTAAGACAGAATGTAGGATTGCGGATGAGCAAGGAGGTTTCAGAGTGGGTAGGGGATGTGTAGATCAAGTGTTTACATTGAAGCATATATGTGAACAGTATTTAGATAAAGGTAGGGAAGTTTTTATTGCATTTATGGATTTAGAAAAGGCATATGATAGAGTGGATAGAGGAGCAATGTGGCAGATGTTGCAAGTAATGGACTAATCTACTTCACAATATTTCTTATGGGAACAAATTCGGTCAGTACTGGCACCTGAACATACTTCTGGAGTGAAAAAATATCGTTAACCGGGGGTCCACTGTATATGGAATAGGTAGTAAGTTACTAAATGCTGTAAAGAGTTTTTATGAGGATAGTGAGGCTCAGGTTAGGGTGTGTAGAAGAGAGGGAGACTATGTCCCGGTAAAAGTAGGTCTTAGACAGGGATGTGTAATGTCACCTTGGTTGTTTAATATATTTATAGATGGGGTTGTAAAAGAAGTAAATGCTAGGGTGTTCGAGAGAGGGGTGGGATTAAATTATGGGGAATCAAATTCAAAATGGGAATTAACACAGTTACTTTTTGCTGATGATACTGTGCTTATGGGAGATTCTAAAGAAAAATTGCAAAGGTTAGTGGATGAGTTTGGGAATGTGTGTAAAGGTAGAAAGTTGAAAGTGAACATAGAAAAGAGTAAGGTGATGAGGGTATCAAATGATTTAGATAAAGAAAAATTGGATATCAAATTGGGGAGGAGGAGTGTGGAAGAAGTGAATGTTTTCAGATACTTGGGAGTTGACGTGTCGGCGGATGGATTTATGAAGGATGAGGTTAATCATAGAATTGATGAGGGAAAAAAGGCGAGTGGTGCATTGAGGTATATGTGGAGTCAAAAAACGGTATCTATCGAGGCAAAGAAGGGAATGTATGAAAGTATAGTAGTACCAACACTCTTATATGGGTGTGAAGCTTGAGGGGTAAATGCAGCAGCGAGGAGACGGTTGGAGGCAGTGGAGATGTCCTGTCTAAGGGGAATGTGTGGTGTAAATATTATGCAGAAAATTCGGAGTGTGGAAATTAGGAGAAGGTGTAGAGTTAATAAAAGTATTAGTCAGAGGGCAGAAGAGGGGTTGTTCAGGTGGTTTGGTCATTTAGAAAGAATGGATCAAAGTAGAATGACATGTAAAGCATGTAAATCTATAGGGAAGGAAGGCGAGGTAGGGGTCGTCCTCGAAAGGGTTGGAGAGAGGGGGTAAAGAAGGTTTTGTGGGCGAGGGGCTTGGACTTTCAGCAAGCGTGCGTGAGCGTGTTAGATAGGAGTGAATGGAGACGAATGGTACTTGGGACCTGACGATCTGTTGGAGTGTGAGCAGGGTAATATTTAGTGAAGGAATTCAGGGAAACCGGTTATTTTCATATAGTCGGACTTGAGTCCTGGAAATGGGAAGTACAATGCCTGCACTTTAAAGGAGGGGTTTGGGATATTGGCAGTTTGGAGGGATATGTTGTGTATCTTTATATGTGTATGCTTCTAAACTGTTGTATTCTGAGCACCTCTGCAAAAACAGTGATAATGTGCGAGTGTGGTGAAAGTGTTGAATGATGATGAAAGTATTTTCTTTTTGGGGATTTTCTTTCTTTTCTGGGTCACCCTGCCTTGGTGGGAGACGGCCGACTTGTTGAAAAAAAAAAAATGGAGAAAGACCCTAGAATATACCAAGAAACCTTTTTTCAGTGTATTCTGTGATGGCCCTTTAAATTCAAAATTAAGAATTTGTGGCGAGGCTGCAAAGTCATTTCTTCACTACCTCATTTAATTACAGTACTTTTATACTTTTTATTAACCCCTTCAGGGTCCAAGGCCAAAATCTGAAGTGGTGCTCCAGTGTCCAAGAAATTTTGAAAAAAAAAAAATTATTTTTTCTTACAGAATTAAAGAGCATATTTTTGTGAAGGTAATAAAACAAAAAAAAAATTTCTGATCAGTACTTACCGAGATACAGTGCCAAGAAGTTTGTCCAAAATGATGTGGTGGCAGCAACATCGACGAATTCCACATACGCGCATTACATTATTTAGCGGTTTTTATAGTTTTTTCTTTTCTTTTCCAATTTTTTTCTATTCCTACTAACATTTGGGGCCTGAGAGACCAATACTGTATATAATGTATATATATAAACTCACTGTATTGAACACTGTATTGTTTACCACTGTTGTTTACAATAAACATGCACAAATCTTGTATAATACTAATGTTCTATCATATATTTACATATTTACAATCACTGGACATGGTTTTAGAACTGCTGGAGCTTGTGGAACTCCTTGAAACAAGGCACCATGCACAGAGGCACCTTACATTCCTCACACATAAACCGAGTGTCTTTGCGTCTTTGTTGCCGTCGTTTTGTTTGTGCACAGACAACACATCTCTTCTGAGCAAATTTCTTCTGAGTTGAAGGAAGCTGTATTATGAAATGATCACCTTCCCTCCTCAAACGCTTGGGTATATCCTGAGTAATTCGAGGACCTTGTTGTATAGCAGGTGTTCTTACCTGGTACTTCATTATGAGTTGTCTGACAACAGACAAACAAAATTCACCATATGGTGGTCTGTTTCCAGTCTTTATTTGGTACATATTGAGCATTGAAATGTCCATGAGATGGAAGAAAAGTTTCATGTACCATTTGTAACTCTTACGAACACAGTCAACAAAACCAATCTGCATGTCACATTTGTCAACCAAGCGCATGTTTTGTGTATAATCAATCACTGTCACTGGTTTTCAAATACGTTCATTAGTCACTCGATCAACTTTGCCACTGTCTTGCATTTCATTACGGTGAATGGATGTCAACAATGTGACATCTCGTTTGTCATGCCACCGTAATGCCATGATGTCATTGGCAGTAAACACCTGCACGTCATCACCACGAGCACCTGCGTTGAGCCTGGGCATATGTTTACAATTAGAACACACTGTGCCACACATATCTGTCTTGTTCACTCACATGAAATCACTGAGTAATGGGCTTGTGTACTAGTTATCGGTATATAATGTATGCCCCTTACCAAGATAAGGTGCCATCATGTTTCTCACTACGTCACCTGAGATACCCAATAACATCTTGGTATCTTTCAATGTTTTACTTCCCGTGTATACAACAATATCCAACACCAGGCCACTGTCACAGTCACAGAGTACAAACAGTTTTATACCAAAGCGTTTCTTCTTGCTCGGTATATACTGCTTGAATGACAGTCTACCTTTGAACAAAATCAAAGACTCGTCAATTACAAGATTCTTGAATGGATAAAAGTATATGCTGAACTTTTGTTTGAGATACATGAAAACATTTCTAATCTTGTATAACCTGTCACTTCTGTCAGGCCTGGTTTTGTCAGAGAAGTGCAACATACGTAAGAGTAAGATAAACCTGTTCACTGGTATGATTTCACTGAAGACCGGGGTAGAAATTAGCCGATCTGTGGACCAGTATGCTTTTATATTATGCTTATAGACATGAGGCATAAGCATTATTGTTGCAAAAAGCAAATACATTTCTGCAACAGTCATCTCTTTCCACCTGTGTAGTCTTGACTGTGGTGATATGATCGTATTTGCCATGGTGTACTCAAAATACTTATTACTTTCCCTGACAATAGTTTCCATCAATGGCTGGTCAAAGAATAATTCAAAGAATTCCAGTTCATTTGCCGGAATTCCAAGGGGACAAGTAGGTAGAATTCCACTTTGAGAGTCATCAAAGTGGTGAGGCTTGGGAACAAAATTGGGATTTTGCTGCCAATCCCACATACGGTTTGCTGGTGGGTACTGGACATCATAGGCTGGTTGTGCGGGTGGTTGTGGTTGTGGTGGGCTGGTGGCTGACGCTCCGCTTTGTCCTTGAACTGACGAGTCAGCAGCGTGGGTCCCACCCTGGGCTGGTGAGTCACGCATGGCGGTGCCACTACCATCACCACTAACACCATCCACTGATGCCTGTGGTCTATCCATGCCAAGTGTAGCCACATCATCCTCACTCTCACTACCTAAAACTGGTGTAGGGCCACGGGATGTACTCCGGGATGCACTCCGTCCCCTGAGCACAGCATAGGGTACACTACCCGAGCGCATGCGGCAGCGAACATACCGACGCTTCACTGGTGAATATGATTCCTCACTATCACTACTCGAATGATTGTCGAGCGCAATAAAATCACAATCCACGTCACTATCATCATCATTACTGAAGTCAGAGGCCTGGCCACGCGAAAATATTGGTTTTCTCTTGTGTTGAGGCACAACTGACCGTGAGTCACGAGTGCCCACATCAGAGGTAGAAGGTTGAGGATCGTCAGGGTTTTCTGCACTATTATCGATATCCTGGTCATTCTTTTCGGTCTCTAACTGATCAAAGCCGTAGAATTTGTCTTCATTTCCACTTCCATCAGTGTCAGAACTATCAGATAGGAAGAGGAGAGTCCCAATTTTCCGGGGAGTGAGAGCTGACTTGCGACGAGGCATGGTGAACTAGGGTAACTGAGCCGGCGTTCCCACAATGCTATGCGGGCGCCTAGATTTTTTGTTTATGGCGCACACCCACCACGCAGACCCGTTCTCTCACATGTAGGCCTATAAGCGCTTTCGTGCTAAATTTGACGGCGCTAGAATTTTGGCGTAGATCTACGGTTTGGACACTCAACTTGAAGCCGTAGATCTACGGGACGGACCCTGAAAGGGTTAAATCAACATTAATATAAATATGCCTAGGGTAAGTAAATGACTGCTAAAGGCACAGGAATGAGTACATAGTGAAAGTATTGGTTACTAGCCATTGTGTAATGCTGTTTAGCTATTTTCTGAATTTACTCCATGCTAAATGCTCATCAAAATATACTTCAATTTTTCAACTGTTATCATGAAAAAGTGTAGTAAATAGCTCACATGTCAGTTGACAATCCACTGTACCTTTGATGGGTTGTGAGAGTTTTCCTTTTCCTGCTGCCATAGTCCTTTCATTTCTAGACATGCTCACTAAGTCACAGCTGATCAGCTTTTGAGGATGACAGAATGTTTTCATATTTTAGAATAATTTTTTAACTGTAAATTCTTCAAAGGAGAGAGAATTTCATCCTTCTCATACGTATTTGCAATTGTTCTCCAGCCATTGATCTTTAAACATTAACAAAATAATTTTTATTACAGCCAAAGATTTTACAAGCCAAGATTTACGATATGGATCCTTTGCACCAGTTCGCCGTGGATCATATGCACGCTGGTAATGGATGGATCTACCTAGTTTCTAGGAAGTCACATTCTGTAAATACTTCTTGTATAGCAAGATCTGTAGTATGGATGAGGGTTACTAAAATGCATTTTGTGTAAATCATTGAATTAATATGCACTAACTGGATTTAACAAACATGTGTAATACTGTACTGTATTAATTATCTGCCTGGTACGTTTTTTAAAGAAATTAAAAGCATTATGTTAAATTTGTGTTGAATAAACTTAGTTTTTCTTATTTATTTTCACTGTTGATATTTGATTTATGTATTACAAGGCAGGATATATGTAAATGTAAATTTTGTCATTATGATTTTGTGAGTCACTAGTACAGATTTTGTTAATTTTTGTCTTAGGTATGTGGACGGTGCACGATATATGTGGGATGTGGCAGATATGCTTGAGGCAGCAAGAGAAGAAATTTTTATTACAGACTGGTGGATGAGTCCACAGATTTACCTGAAGAGACCTGATTTAACCGGACGCCGATGGAGGTTAGAAGAATTGGGATACTGGCTGTACCACTTGTTAGCTTTGTATTTTAATGTTTCACTACAGTTTGCAGTATTTTTTTTAAACCTATTTTGGATTTATTACTCCTGCTCTTTGCTGAAGAGAAGTTGTGAAGGTTAGTGGAGGAATTTGGGAGAGTATGTAAAAGAAGGAAATAAAAGTGAACATAGAAAAGAGCAAGGTGATTAGAATACAAAAATGCTTGGCAATGAAAGATTAGATATAAACCATACCACAGGTGGGGAGAGAACCCGCCAGTGGTGGCTCGTGTATAGGCACTGCGAAACTGCAGCACCCCCTATTTTCACTATATTATCGATAACATTCAATATATATAGTCTTTTTTCTTTAATTCTTTCTTTATACTTGTACATTATATAATCCTTAAGCTTAATGTCAGTAGCCATCCCCTAGAATACATGAAAAAATTACAAAAATCCTTGTATGGAAATGTATGCTTCACAGTTCCAGTGACTTGGTGTTTGGCTGTTGTGCGCATGCTCACATGTCTAAGATAAGACGCTGCATGCTAGGTAGAGAGAGCACTGTTGCTGACGCAGTGCTGACCCTGTTGTGCAAGCGCAAGGTAGTGTTTCTTTTTTAATCAGTGACGTGTGTTGTGCTTAAAAACCATGTACCATATTCTTGAATGTGATGGAGTGTAGTATTAGATGATTATCATGCTTCCATCTATTTTATATGCTTGTTTTGTTTTACACAATATTAAAACAATGGCTAAAAATTTTCTGAACCAGCATCTCCACAAATTTTAGCTACGAGCCGCCACTGGAGCCTGGGGTTAGAGAGTCATAAAACTCCAGACCAACACCTTAGCCACTGGGCCAGCTGGCTACAATAAGATTCATCCAGCTAGGTATATTTATACACCATAGGAAGGTTAGCATGGGCACCACTGTGTGCATTCGTGTCATGATTTCGTAGGTCAAAGATTAGATATCATTGTGAAGGGAAGGGGTGTGGAAGTGAATGTATTCTGATATATGAGAGTAGACGTGTTGGCATACGAGTCTACAACATGAGTTTAACCATAGACTAGATGATGGAAAAAGGTAGATAATGTGTTGAGTCATCTGTGGAAAGGAAAGTTTATCTATGGAGACAAAAAAGGAAATGTATGGCATAGAATTTAAACATTGCAGAAAGAAGGACACTGGAGGCCATCGAGATGTCATATTTGAGAGCAATGCGTGGTGTGAATATTATGCAGTATTATGTATAATTCAGAGGACCTAGGAGGTATTATTAACATCATAGAATAGATGGAGCAAAATAGGATAAGAGGATATGTAAATCTACTATGCATTCTTGTGGTGTTTCAAAAAATATTATTTTCGCCTTTGTTTCCCAGCTAAAATTTACCCTGGATTATGATTCATAAATTTACTCTTCCAAATACTTGCAAATGCCATCACATGAGCATCTAGTGCCAACTTTGCTGCCTTGTATTTTGAAAGATGGGCTATAAGATCACAAGAAATACTATAAATTGTAATTTATATAAATTGCAGTTAATCTGTTTTATTGCTAGCGCTCAAAATATTTTGAAAAAAAAAAAACAGAAAAAAATTTAAAACAAAGAGGGCAATTTTCTGTGTGTAATAAGACAAAAAAAAAAATTAGGCCAGTACTTACTGACATACAAGACAATGAAGTTGGCACTAGATGCTCATGTGATGGCAACGTTAAGTCCTGCTGCTTGCGTTAATGTTGTAATACACCTTTATTCTCGTTTTTTTAATATACATAATTTTTATGTAGTTCTTGTGATTTTATAACCAGTCTTTGTTCTGACACTAATATTAGGTATGGAAATAGTAATCAAGCAGTGAGAAACACACTTGACAGGTTAACATGTTCACCTTTCTTGGTTGCATTCTATTGTCTAGAAATATTTACAAATTATTTATAGGTCCCAGCAATTTTTTAAAAGTGCTGAGTATATGACTCCTTGAAGAATGGTGTCAGACAAGAATGTCATTGTACACTGTCGACAGTGTAGTCACTCAGTATTGCTAATAGTGCACTGCTCCCAGCGAACCTTGGCATATGTTACTTTATTTGTTCTTACTGTTCCACACACATAAATGTGGCCATCTCTGTCTGTCCATATAAGTGCAGTATTTATATACAGTGGACCCACTGTTATCGGCTGTTCCAGATATCGGCCATTTTGGATTTCGGCTGCTTTTTTGGCCGAAATTCTATCCCGAATTTCAGCTGTCAACATGGAAATCGGTCGTATTGGACACGTCCATCCCACCACTCAGCTGTGTTTGTGAGTCAGTTTGGCTGTCTCGGAGAGTTAGGAAGACTCTGTGCATTCGTCCAAACATTTCGTTATGATCCATTGTTTTTCTGGGTGTTTATTGAGTGCAACTGGGAAATAAGCCACCATGGGCCCAAAGAAAGTTCCTAGTAAAGTTCCTTTGGTATTGAAACAGACCTTTCTGGACTGTGTTTTTGTGCAAAAGGGGTGCAGTGACTCAAGCTGGTCCTAGTGGCAGTAAAAGAAAAAGATGGGAAGTAACCCCAGAGAGGGCTTTGATACCTGAAGTCCTTATGGAGGGGGATTCCCCTTCCCAACAATATTCAGTCCTCCCTGTCTTCCATAAACCAACAAGAGTCTTCAATAAAGATATGTAATAGTGATTTAAATGTTCATTCATTTATTTTATTTAGTTCTCATTGTTTTGTGTATATAAAACTATAGTTAATCTTTAAAAAATGCATTTTTTGGTTAATATTTTTGGGTGTCTATAACGGAGTAATTGTCTTTACATTAATTCTTATGGGAAATATTATTTCAGTTTTCAGCCTTTTCCAATTTAAGCCGACCTTCTGGAATGGGTTATGGCCAATAACTGAGGGTCCACTGTATACTGTTTTTTTTTTTTTTTTTTTTTTTTTTGTGATTTGTGTTTTCTAAGGCTATGTACAAGGATTACTTATAACATTACAATTGTTTCAGAGTGTAACACTCCTCAAAACATGGATATAAGTCATATTGATTGACTTTACTGGGTTCTATATATAGTATATGTACTATATTCTTGATAATTGTTATTTTCCTGTATAATTTTTTACTATCTTGGTCTTCTAAGGCCATGTATAATAAATATTTATAATTTTACAATTATTTCAGAGTGTATTATTCATCAGAACATGGGAATTATTCACATTGTTTGACTTATTTGGGTTATCCTGGGTTATATGCCTAGTGTGCTTTGTGACTGAATTCCACTGTTAGTATCATGAAATTTTAACGAATTTGGACTGAATAAGTCATCTTTGTCATCTCTGAGCCATTTGCACACACTGTTTGCAGGTAGGGAAACTGGTGGTGGAGCAACAGCTCCTGGTTCCTTTGTTTACTTTTGCTAGTGAGGCGTACTAGTATGTTGGACATACAGTCATTCCAAAAGTAGTTAACCATGATACACTGTGTGCACCTGCTGGCCTTAAGATTTTTTTCAGGCCTGGTCACAGACCAGGCCGCAGGGGCGTTGACCCCCGAAACCCCCTTCAGGTATGATTAGGTGGAAGAAGACCCAGAGAGTTGCCCTAAGGTAAAAAATATTGGCAGGTGGCAGATTTGTGAATATGAAATATGGTGCATATTAGTACATTGGACACAGTACCAGCACCTGTGTACTAATACATCAGACACAGTTAAAGGGTTAAAGAAATGTGATAAATACTGGCTACATACAAATATAAGTTGATTATTTAATACTTTCAGATTGGCAGAAATACTAAAACGGAAAGCTGAAAGTGGTGTTCGCATATTCATTCTGCTGTACAAGGAGGTAGAACTGGCTCTGGGAATCAGTTCACTTCTTACAAAGCATACTATTAACCAGCTTCATCCCAATATTAAGGTACTTATATGTGTTTTTTCAAGCATAATTGCTTAAGGGGGTCATGCTATAAATTAATAATCTATTTAATTAGGAGGAGAAATTACTCTATTGGATATGCTTAGGAAGGTGTTGTTATATTCTGGTCTTGTGTTGTGCATGTTCTCTGACTTGCTGAAGTAAGACTGGAATAACCCTAATACTAGATATATATATTTGTTAAGTAGGAAACCAACAATAGCTTCATAATCTTTCCCAAGCATCTTGGTTATTTCTTCATTCCTTCAGGCATCAAGAGAACTTAGAGCAAAACTGTAAACATTTGTTGAGAAACTACACTTTAAATTCATCATTAGCATAATGAGTTATGTACTACTCATTTCAGACTTTGTTTCCTGTTGAAAATAGAGGCTTTATCACAAGCTGGCACTGTATTATGAAAAAAACAAGGAATAGATAAATTTGTAAAATTTAATTTTGGTTCCTGCACCATAAGTAGAAGACAATATACACCTTGATGTCTTAATCATTAACTAAATTGCTGTCATTGTTCATGAGCCACATTAATTTATACTTTTAAAGATTCCCTTGTATCTTAAATATTTGAAATTAAATAAAAATAATAACATATTTAAATATCTGTTTAATATACAGGTACTTCGACACCCGGATCACTTGGGAGGAGTGCTGTACTGGGCCCACCATGAGAAACTCGTCATTATCGATCAAATGTACGCATTTATCAGCGGAATTGACTTGGCCTTTGGACGATGGGATGATTATAGACACAAGTAAGAATCTGATAATTATCATTGTTGAATGATAATTATGAAGATACTATAATCGTATGAAACTGCAAGACAAGAATTGAGTGAATTTTTTTTTTTTTTTTTTGTCACCTGCTTTAGTAGTTGACTGCCAGTGGGATAAAAATAAACCAAATCATTTTGATAATTGAAGTTTATGGTCTCCAACTTTCATTTGCAATGATTTATAGTAAAGCCATTGTATATGGCTAATGTATTTGTAATTATTTTTGTTTTGAAGGCTTCTTGACATTGGCCATGCTGGAGTACAAGGCTCTCCTTCCCATCAAAAAATCCTAGGGGGAGCTCTGCAGCATTTGGTACGAGGGACCAACGAGGTGCTTGTGAACACTGTCACCCGGTCAGCATCCAATAGCAGAAGAACATCTCTTGATGCTTCCTATTGTGGGGATACAACACAAAGTACCATTGCCAGTTCACTCTTCATAAATTTGGATGAGTCACTAAAGAGGTCAACTGAAAACCCAGAGAGTCATGATGAAAATCCTCCACTTATTTGTGGTATTGGTGTGGATACTGTAGATCATAGTGGTGCTGATGAGAATACTGTAAATCGTGGTGGTGTGGGTGTGGATACTGCAGATCGTAGTGGTGCTTGTGCAGATACCAGTGCTCATGATGATGGAGCAAAGAAAGAGAGAGCAGCTGATGAAACAATTATTAATGGAAAAAGTGTCCAAGTGTCTGAAGTTGTTGAAACTATCCCCTTAGAACCATATGCAAAAAGATCAAATACCAAGTCCAAATTTTTTAAACATGACTCAAAATATTTAAAAGAGCCATCCAATCTTAGCGACATGAGCAGTGAGGATGAGCACCGTGAAGGGAGGATGGGGAAGAGTTTTAGGGAAGTAAAAAAAATTGGAATGGAACTTGTTGAAGAGGTGAAAGAGAAAGGCCGGGAAGTGCGAGCATGGACTGCTCATAAGCTGCCACATTTGCATCGGTAAGTAAAATACCATCTCTCTTCTTTATGCATCATATTTTGCCTTCTTTAACACAGTTTTTAAACTAGCTAGAATTTATACCAAATATGAAACTTACAATCTCATTAGCTAAAGTTATCAACAAAATACATTTCCAAGACATAATTAAAATAATAAGTTACTACAGTAACAATAGGTACTGCAATAGAAAGTGAGTAATAAGTGAAAGTGACACAGTTGGACTTGTTTAATATATCTGCTACTTTCAGGAAGAGGAAAGTCCAAACTTTTTTTCTGTTTTTGCCTTATCGACCATCTCACACCAAGTTAGGGTGATGTCAAAAAAGGAAACACATTCACCATCATTCATTCGGCTGCTGCCTTGCCAGAAGTCTGCTAGATTACTGATTGCACAAACTCTTATCTTTGTATCATTGTCTCTAATTGAGCAAATTGTTGGTTCTCTAGCACCAAAAGTGCTGGCAATTTCCATAACATGTGTACCACTAGTAAGCATATGTATCACCTCTGTTTTTTCAAAACAGGTAATGTTCCACACCTGTGCTACTTCTTGGTACCTTCAGCATCACTAATATTCCTCTTGGGGGCCTAGTTTGATTTATAAAACAAGATAGGGTGACAAAAAGATTGAAAGTGTAATGATAAACATAGAGAGTAGGGTATGGGATACATCAAGAAGGCAACAGGGAGTGTGGGTGCCTGTTAACAGCAAGGAATGAAACTAGACCTTCTAAAACAATGGACTCATTCTAGTAGCAGAGGGGACATGTGCTTATTTTTCCTAAACTTTACAGTAAAATCACATAGTCACTTATCCCTGAAATGTGAAATCTGTACAAAATTTCAATCATGATGTACTTAACGAAATGTGAGATTCTGCTATATTCTCTAAATACACATCTCTGATGTCATGCATTTAACAGGGTTAAACAATTTATTCAGAGCTAACCTGCAAATCGGAGAAGAAACGAGACGTCATTTTATTTCGTCCTAGGCCATTATCAGATTTTAAGCCATAATGGTCCGTGGTGGACCAAAATGTCATCTAGTTTCATCTCCAAATTTGTGAGTTAGTTGTGTATTGTTGCAGTCATGGTATTGTAACAGTTATTGTTCGGGGATTAAAAAATTTATATTTAATGTTCAGGTGTTGATTATACTTTTAAAGCCTTTGTGCAATATATTATCAGTACTGTACATACTTTCAATTAACCAAAAAACAATAATAGATAATCGATGTAGGTTTTAGTGTTCTAATTAAGGTATTTTTTTAATATTTTGCATGTTGCTAATCTTACAGTATAATGTGGTAACTCTTGATACATTAAACTGTTTCTAGAACACTCTTAAGTATATTATGCAAAGCTTTATTTTTGTGTAGTAAACATATTAATATTAATCCATTGTAAGTGTCACTAATCATAGTATAGGAGTTAAAAATGTTAAACTTGAGAAGTAATGCATGCAAAAAATAATTTCTAAAACCACCTGAAACTAGTTTTAGAAAACTAAATCAGTTTTTCAGTATAGTTTTTTGCTGCATGTTTTTGTACTAAACATGAGTGTGTACTAAGTGTTGTATTAATGATATGAAATATTTCTGCATACTCCCAAATTACAGGAGAAACAGTTCGGACTCTGACATTTCAGACAGTTCTTCTGACAGAGAAACTGTGCAGAACTCGAGAAATAGGTTTGTTATAATGTTGTATAAGTTATCCTTGATTTTATATGTCCTTCATTTATGTATTTTTCTGTTTTAAGAAATCAGTTTTGCTTAATTTTGTGAAAATACATCCTAATAAAGTCAGTATGCATAGGTTATTGAAAGGTTTATTAATGCTAAATATCTAATGCATCTTTTATATTCAAATATGAATTGACAGTATAAATAATACTTCAGTGAAGAAGATACACTGTTGCAAGTTTAATCCTTTTACTTCATTGTTATTGCTGTGGTAAAGTTAAGTGTTATGTTTATGCATCTAGGTTCTACAGACGTCATAAACGTAAGTTGGGCAACAGAGAACAAATGGGTAGCTGTTCATCACTTGCCCAGGCTCACAGCATGGTTACCATGGAAGATACAACCTCCACTCATCTCTGGGTTGGCAAAGACTATGTTAACTGGATCAGTAAAGATCTGGATAACTTGGATGAGCCCTTCAAGGGTAAGATACTGCTCGCCTGTTTTAGTACTGTTAAGTACTGCCTCGGTGGGAGACTGCCGACTTGTTGAAAAAAAAAAAAAAAAAAAAAGTATATTATTTATATAATTTTATTTGCAGTTCAGAAGGTCATTTGAATGGTGTGGTATATGTACTTCTGACATGACAGTTGTTGGATAAGTGATGGTGCTTTTATTTCCTTCTTTGGGTCACTGTAACTTGGCAGGAGACTGCTGGTATGGTAAAGATAAAAAAAAAAGAGAGCAGATGGCATTGATATATCAATGTAAACATTATATTTACCACTTGGTTTGAGTTTAATCTCTTGTTATGATCATGTTTAGTTCCCAGATAAATAAGAAATCAAAATAAATTTGCTGTATCAAAGGACTGTTGGAGAATAGATTTTTTATAGATTTTGAAGGATCACTTGTCACTTAAGGATTTTTCTCCTGTTGTATTTTAAAATTTATTCCTGATTTTGTTTAGCAAATACATCTTGCTAACCCCTATTAACCCTGACAGAACAAACCACTCTGTGATTGTGTCTCCCCCTTTCCTTTGATCAAATGTGAATACTCCTTATCACCCATGGAAATTTCTGTTACAATTTGATGCTTTCTGTAATATAACTTAAAGCTTATGATTTATAATGATTTCTGGATATTGTTGATGGAATTTGAATTGCTTTGATTGCATGGTGATGATTCTGTAATATGATAGCACTTGAATTTCTGCAGCTTTTTATGTTCAAACTACTGAAATAGAGTAGACACCAAGAACATCTGTAGAGGGAGGAGAGGTATGAACGAGATTAGTGCGAAGAGTGTTAGTCTGGCGGAAGGTAAGCTTGATGTCTAAGGGATGGAGAGAATTGTTGAGATTAGAAAGACCGGAAATGTAGGGAAGGCAGAGGATAGAAGAGTTCCCGCACTAATCTCGTTCATACCTCTCCTCCCTCTACAGATGTTCCTGGTGTCTACTCTATTTCTTGCTCCTCCTGTCCTCTTCAATACTTCGGAGAAACTGGTCGATCTCTTTCTGACAGACTTAGGGAGCACAAAAATAGTGTTAGGCTTGCCGACACTAACAATGCTCTTTTCTGTCACGTCAGAGATCATAGCCATCCTATTGACTGGTCTTCTGCTAAAACTGTCTTCCCCACTTCCAACTCGAACAGTCGCCGTCTAGTTGAATCCTCTCTAATACACAACTTTCCTTGTATGAACCTTAGCCCTGGCTTCATCTCTGTAGATGCCTTCCTCTCCCACTACATTGTAAAATGCTCCAAACTTCAGAACACCAGTGACTTAACCTGACTCCTCATTTTTTCTTTTCTTTTTTGTCTCCCTCTTTCCCTTTCCTCTTTCCTTTTCTCCTCTGGGTTGTCTTTCTCTCTTCTGTCTCATGTTTCTGTTCCTTCTTCATTTATTTCACCACTTCCCCTTTCACGCACCTCTGTGCGCTTGCTCTCCCTGAGTGGGCACCTAGCTCTCTTGCAGTGCTCCCCTTCCTTTGTATTGGACTGGCTCGTCCTCCTTATTTCCCACTTCTACCACTACTTCCTCTTCTACTACTACTACTACAACCACTGATGAAATTAAGACACATGTGCGGTGTCTGGTTGTCTTTGTTGTGGACGTTTCGCCATCCAGTGGCTGGCTGGATGGCGAAACGTCTACGATAGGGATGCCCGGGTGTTGTGCATATGTCTTAATTTCATCTTGTCGGTATTACATACCATTCTTGTACTACTACTACCACCACCTCTTCCTGCCTATATATAGCTGTCCTGCTCCACTTCTGGTTAGTGTGACTTTGTCAATGGTCCAAGTCGGACCGAAACGTCGTCGTAAGCTTCTCTCTTTTATGTGCGGGTCATTTGTGTATATGTTGTGTATCTTTATATGTGTATGCTTCTAAACTGTTGTATTCTGAGCACCTCTGCAAAAACAGTGGTAATGTGTGAGTGTGGTGAAAGTGTTGAATGATGATGAAAGTATTTTCTTTTTGGGATTTTCTTTCTTTTTTGGGTCACCCTGCCTCGGTGGGAGACGGCCGACTTGTTAAAAAAAAAAAAAAACAGGACATCTATATTCAGTACTTGTGAAGCCACAGTTCACATAACTGCTCACTACTTATGAAGTATGGGGGTTCTAGTGGTATAGTATCTGCCTGTTGTTTAATGGATAGAAATCTTCTGTGAGCAGACACTGAGTTATTAGAAGTATTTACCATACTCTATATAGTATACACATATGAAAATTTTTATGCCTTGTCCTATGTACTAGATAAATATAGAGTACATGTACTGTAATAAATTTCCACAGGAAAGTCAGTTACAGTCATTTATTCTTTTAACATGCTGGCCGTCTCCCACTGAGGCAGGGTAACCCGAAAAAAGAAGCATTCACCATTATTCACACTATCACTGTCCTTCCAGAGGCACACAGATATGACAGTTTAGATATCCCTCCAAACTGCAGATATCTTAAACCCTTCATATAGAGTGCAGCAAACTATACTTCCTACTCCCATATGGTACTTAAAAGGAAAGATTACTCTCCCTGACAGTCATACATTCTACCTACAGTTATGGCAAAGAAGCAAGTTCTCCTTGGTTTGTACTTGCCACTGTAATCTGCCAAAACCATTGAGGGCATCTGCATTGAAAATGGATCACATGTATTGAATTTATTTTAAAAAATAAAACTGCCTGTTTCCCTGATACATAAAATACTATATAATAAACATGAGATTGTCATTGCATAGAGGAACTTAATAAGCAGTAATTATACATCTAATAATAAAATTGGGAACAGGTCACATTTGTTGGTACAGGTACAAGACAACCAAAATAAAGACCAAGTCAAAAAAATTTTCATGTACTTTTCTTCTTTCAACGTACCAGCCATATCCCACTGAGGTGGGGTGGCCCAAAAGAAAAAACTGAAGTTTCTCCTTTTAAATTTAGTAATATATACAGGAGAAGGGGTTACTAGCCCCTTGCTCCCGGCATTTTAGTCGCCTCTTACGACACGCATGGCTTACAGAGGAAGAATTCTGTTCCACTTCCCCATGGAGATAAGAGGAAATAAACAAGAACAAGAATTAGAAAGAAAATAGAAGAAAACCCAGAGGGGTGTGTATATATATGCTTGTACATGTATGTGTAGTGTGACCTAAGTGTAAGTAGAAGTAGCAAGACTTACCTGTAATCTTGCATATTTATGAGACAGACAAAAGACACCAGCAATCCTACCATCATGTAAAACGATTACAGGCTTTCGTTTTACACTCACTTGGCAGGACGGTAGTACCTCCCTGGGTGGTTGCTGTCTACCAACCTACTACCTACATTTTCATGTACGTTTCATCTATTTATACTGGACTCTCCATTCATGGGTGTTTATTAGTAACATGAATTAATGTTCATTCACAGATATTGTTAATCGGCATCACACTCCACGTATGCCATGGCACGACATTGGTTTATTTGTTGAAGGGCCAGCTGCTCGTGATGCTGCTCGCCATTTTGTTCAACGCTGGAATACTGTAAAAACTGAAAAGGTATGGTTATAAATACTTTATGTATAAGTAAACCGATACTATATGTACACTAGTTGAATGCATAAAGAAATAAATTATGACATTATTGTAGGCATATTTGAAAAGAATAAATAGAAAAACCCCTCAATATGGTAAACTAAAGGGGGGGGGGAATTGTCTGAGTGCCCATTAAATCAGAATAATGGAAATAAATGGTATAAAATACTGACACAATGGAAATATAAACACATATGGACTACCCATGGGTTCGCCACTCAGTGCCGTCCTGGCGAACCTATATATGGAACGTCTAGAAGCCGAGCGTTTTTCCACCATTATTCCCTTGTCTGTCACCTGGCTCTGTTATGTTGACGACATTCTCATCATAATTCCCAGATGCTTCATTGTTTAAGCTCTCCAGCACAAGCTCAGTCAGGTCGAGCAGCCCTCAATCCAGTTCACACTAGAAGAAGAAGTCGACAACACTCTTCCTTTCCTTGATGATGTTCTCTGCAAAGCTGACCATGAACTTCGTTTTAAAGTCTATAGAAAACCTACCAACCAACACGATCTTCTCCACTTCTACTCTCACCACGACACCAAAACTAAACGTGGTGTAATTATAGACTTCTTCCTGTGGGCACTCAGAATCTGCAGCAGTGAGTTCCTTGAGGAAGAATGCACTATAATTGAACAAATATTTTCCAGACTTCACTATCCTCATCACTTCGTCAGAGATTGCAGACAACGGGCATTAAACATCTTCAACACACCCAGAGAAGACACTGCTGAGAAGAGATATATAGTCCTCCCCACCAACTCCATTGCCAAACACATTTCCAACATCTTTTCCAATACCTCATTCCAAGTATCTACCTCCACATCCACCACCATCAAGGACATTACCAATAATAGACAGGACAAGCTTCAATACTCTGCAGGGGCATACACAATCCCTTGTAATAACTGCAGCAAATTATATGTCAGCGAAACATCCAGAGACCTCCAAACACATATTTCAGAACACGAGTACGCTGACAGATCTGATGATCCAAGGAATGCCTGTGTTCAACACCGAAATTCACACAACCATTTAATCAACTACAGAAACGCAAGACTCATCGCCAGAGAAGACAACACTTAATACTGAAGAATCCTGGAATCGTCACTTATCTGTACATCCAACAACTTCAATCAGAACAACGGCTTCTGTAACATAGCTGAGCCTCTTGCCAAGAAACTTCTTCATCGCTATCCCACATAAGGATCAAGGAACACTGCAGAAGGTCTACCCATGTACTTATCCAATCCTTTTTTAAAAGCTACCCAAGTTTTTAGACTATGCTAGGAAGATTGTCACATGCAGCTTTCTCCACCTGACCCAGCATTCTCATCCTATAAATACTCACGTATGTTTCACCCAGATAAATCTGTTTATGACTTGATAAAGCCCACTGCATGAGTGAAACATCAATAAAGGATCACATTATACTGCATATGTGTTTATATTTCCAAATCAGAATGATGCTTAAAAACTGCAAAAAGTGCACTAAATACTCTACTGTATACCTAATATAGTACTGTGCACACAATTTACAGATACACGTACTACAATAAACATTGAAAATAAAGGAGTTAAAAGTACACCTTAACCAATGGATTTTGTCCATAATTTTAAAAGTCTTCAAACTATGGAGCAGAACTCTTCTTCATGCTGAAGGACTGGCCACCTCAAAAGGACTTCAAGAATAGGCACTGAATTGGCACTTTCTGGAAAGGCATAGAATTAGGGGGCAGAATATGATTGAAGTGTATAAATGGAAGACAGGAATAAATAAAAGGGATGTGCTAAAAATGCCTAACCAAAACAGGACTAGCAGCATGGGTTCAAGTTGAGAAGATTTAGATTTAGAAAGGATATGGGAAAGCACTGATTTGGTAATAAAGTTGTGGATGAGTGGAACAAACTTCAGAGGATCGTCATTGAAGCATAACCCTTGAGTTACCTCAAAAATGGGTTAGACAGGTACATTAGTGAATGTGGGTGGTTGTGAGTTGGACTTGCCTAGCATGGGCCAGTAGGCCTGCTGCAGTGTTCCTCCTTTCTTTCATATGTTGTTATAATGTTGAGGGGTTTACTGTACAACTAATGTGTACATGGAGATAAATATAAAAGTTTGGTCTCGAAAGTGTATTTGTGAGACTTATAGGAATAGGTAAGAGGATGTAAAAAAAAGAATATACGGTAATTGGATGAAGGTGCAGTGGAATGTTGGTAAGTGTGTTTATGGGAGCAGTTATTTAAAATGTTAAGTTAACAGTGTGCAGAGCTTGTGATATTGAATTTGTCTGAGCTTATAGGACAGAATAATACTCTCCATCATTGGTAAAAGGTACAGATGTGTTGCTTGTCAACTGCGAGTACTCAACTTAAGTATATTGAGTCAAAGTTAATTACCACTAGTAGAGGAATTTAGTACTTACTGATCACTATGCTGTTTCATCAAGCGAGGGCTCTACTTCCTTTTATTTACATGTATACTTTATAATAAATACTCTCAGCTCTCGTGGTCCACATTCCTTCTCCTCACAATATTTATAATGTGTCCTATAACTAAATACTTGTTCTTGTCTAGCATGTACTTTTATCCTAATGATTATTACACTTCTGTGTCTCTAACAACTTCTTTACCTATGTTCCCCAAGTCATCAATAGCCTCAGTGTTGTAATGCCAAAGAGATCACAATAACTGATAAATTTTCATTTTTAAATTTCCTTCTTCACCTTAACAATCATTCATAATTTATCACAGTATTCTTTAATGCATTCATTTTTAAGTTGCCTTTGCTCTGTATAATTTGAATGATAACTTTTTTGCTTTAATGCTGCTTCACCAAGAGGTTGGAAAGTGCCTCTCATCATCACAGCTGTAAGTAATGATTATCATACAACCTGTGCCTTTTTGCCATTATGTAACTTTAAGAGTTGCTGAAAGAACATTTATTAAGCACAACATTTGTTAAACACTAACCTTTAATACTTATTTGTCAGCTGATAAAAATGTGAAATACAAAGATGTCTTCTTTATGTGACTTGATAGTGCACATCTGACTAGAAATTCTTTTCAGAATTGTTATTTGTAAACATTTGTAAACTATGAAAAAGACTCTTATATCCTTGACATTTTATTGTTAATGACTTCTGTCATACTGTGTAACTATCAGTAATTAACTTTTTCAGGTAAAGCCTAATTCTAATTACCCATACTTGGTGCCAAGGACTTATGATAAGGAGTACTTTGTGCCTTCTAATCTTGAGCCAAAGCATCTAGTCAAATGTCAGGTAAGGAAACCCTTAAATGGTAGTTTTACTATAGGGGTCATCAAAGGATGGAGGTTTTGAGTGCTAGGGTCTTGACCATCATGGTATTGAGAGCATGTTAGTTTGGAATAGGTGAAGGCAAGTGGTTTTCATGGTGTGACATACTGTTGGAGTGTTAGCAAAATGACATTTACAAGAGGATTTATGAAAAACTAATAGCTGGACTTGAGTCTTGGAAGTGAGAGCTACAGTACCTGCACTCTGAAGGAGAGGTAGCGATGTTGCAGTTTGGAGGATCATTTAAATTGCGATGTTCATGCACTTCTGGCAAGACAAGTATTGAATAAGTGATGGTAAATGTACTTCCTTTTTTTGGGTCACCCTACCTCCATTAACGCCATGACTGTCGCAACCCCCAATCCTGAGGTGTCTCCTGGTGTCACCAAATTTAAAAAAAAAAAATTATTTTTCTTATGAAATGATAGAGATTTTTTTCCCGATTGTAATGACACCAAAAAAACGAAATTTGATGGAAAACTGACGGAATTATGCTCTCGCGAAGTTAGCGACCTTGGCAATATTTACAAATCGGTGATTTCGCCCACTTTGAGGCCTATTTTCAGTTAATTCCATTGTTCCAGTCGACCAAACTCATAGATATTTCTTTAGAACTCCGTTTTTTCTATCGATTGAGCACAAGAAACTGCCCATTTACTAATTTCAACTACCCAATAACGTGGTCAGAAATTTGAAGTTTGGCCAGTTTCACGAAAATTAAAAAATATGACAATTTCAAAATAAGGTACAGAATGAACAATGCAGACATTTCTGGCTCAAAAATAACATTTTCTTCGTTCATCAGTCATGTCTCCAGGCCCCTCTGATATTACTCTTGCTTTCTATTTTGAATTTTTATTCAAACAAAAAATAGAAGATTTACTATTATGCAGACTACTCCAATACTGTAATAATTGTATAAATAACATCAACCCATTCATGACTGCATATTAGAATGGCTAGTTGGACATTTATTGGACAATGATGTCATTTGTTTACTTTTGAACATCGGCAAAAATCAAACATTTCCCCTACTTTGAGTTCCATTTCCAGGTTCTTTTTATAGTAAAATCAATCAAAATCATCTCGTTTTCTATTCTATCAAATCAGACCAAGAAAATGAGAATACAACCATAAATACTATACGAAAATAGACCACAAAGTTGGCATTTTAATTAAAAAAAACGGTTGGAGTTTTTTTTTTCTCTTTATGCACTGCGTGCTCCAGAATTTTTTTTATGTGGTGCACACTGACCACACAGACCCATTCTCTCACATGTGGGCCTACCAGCTTTCTCTTTCTTGATTTGAAGCCGCTAGAATTCATGAGTATATACACGTCAAACATGGTACCTAGTAAGACGTATATGTACAGCCGCGACAGTCAAAGGGTTAAAAAAAAAAATATATGCCTTTTTCTCCTCTGGGTTCCTGGTCATTCTTTATCACAAAAATCCCCATATTTACCACATTTTTTTTTGCTTCAACCATCCCCCACCAGGTAAAGTGACCTCATAAAAGAGCATTCACCATCATTCATTCAACAGCTATCTTGCCATAAGTGAGAAGGCATTACAGTTTAAACAACCCTCCAAACTGCAACCTTCCCATTCCTCCTTAAGAGTGCAGGCACTGCACTTCCCACTTCCAGGGCTCAAATCCAGCTAACCTAAAGTATTGCCTTGGATACTCCAACAGCATTTTAGATCCTTCAAGTTACTTTTTTTCCACTATCTGATCTAGCATGGTCACTCATGCCTGCTGGATGTTCAAACCCTTATCTCTTAAACTTCCTTCACATCCTCCCTCCATCCCTTCCTGGGATGACCCCTACCCGTTCTTTCTTCCACCTCAGTTTTATACATCCTCCTGAAACTTGATTGTCCTGTCCTCTCTAAATGCTCGAACCACCTCAACAAACCTTCCTCTGCCTTCTGAATTGTACCTTTTGTAACCCCCACACCTAATTTCTACCCCACAATGTTTTCTGATTTCACTAAATATGCTAAATAAATTTTTTAAACTGGTATTGAACGCTTGGCAGCTTTTGTCACCTTTTCCACATCATTCAGACAGTTACCGGGTTCAAAAACAGTGATTAATAGATGAATACTGTAGGTGCCTGAATTGATAAGTTATTTGCAACATTTTTATTTCCTTTTGACTTTATTTCTTGTCCTAAATTGTATGTGGTTTACCAGTTTTAAGGGTCACGTTAGTTAAGCGATTTAATATATTTGTAATACAAAAATGCAGGTTGTACGTAGTGTGGGCAATTGGAGTGCAGGGCAGGACGAAGATGAAGCAAGTATTTTCTCTGCTTATGTTGATCTCATTCGTAAAGCCGAGCACTACATCTACATCGAAAACCAGTTCTTCATCACATGCGGGAATATTAATGAGCAGAAAGAGGTTACCAATTACATTGGTCACGAAATTGTGGAACGCATTGTTCAAGCTCATAAGTAAGCTTTACAGTAATGTATTACTATACTGTACTGTTTTTATACATACAGTGGACCCCCGCATAACGATCACCTCCGAATGCGGCCAATTATGTAAGTGTATTTATGTAAGTGCGTTTGTACGTGTATGTTTGGGGGTCTGAAATGGACTAATCTACTTCACAATATTCCTTATGGGAACAAATTCGGTCAGTACTGGCACCTGAACATACTTCTGGAGTGAAAAAATATCGTTAACCGGGGGTCCACTGTACATGTATTGGTATATAGTGTCAGTATACATGCACAAACACCATTCTTAGTGTTAGTCTGAAATGCTAACACTAACATGAAATAAATTTTTATGCTTATGAGAGTGCCATTGCCAGTAGATGTTTTTTTGTTAATAAAAAATAATTTTTTTTTAGAAATGGTGAAGTATTCCGAGTCTTCATTATGCTGCCTCTCCTGCCAGCCTTTGAAGGGATGATTGGCAAGTCAAGCGGAATAGCAATGCAATACATTGTTTACTGGAATTACATGAGCATATCCCGGTAAGATAAACTGACACTTACAGTGTCTGCAAAAATAAACTGGGCCTTCCCTTGGTACCTACATTAATAGTTTGCCATTTTTTTCTTGTCCTGGACCATTTGAAGTTGTTTGGGCATGCTTTCACTTAGAGTTGTGAAGTAATCAGTGAATAACTGGTTGATCCAAGTGTCCTTGATCTACTGTTGCAGGCACAACATAGATGAAATGGGGCAGGATTCCATCCTCTTTTTCATGATACTCCAGGCATTCTTAATAGGATTGAGGTCTGGACTAGAACCGGGCCACTGCACCCACAATCTGTCATAGTTTGAGGTTGCTTTAGTTGGTTGTGGGGATTTGTAGTTCCTTCCCCAAAAATTACAATGAATGCCAACCACTACATCACTATTCTTGAGGATCGCCTGCTGAATATTTTAAAAATTCATGGCTGGACCACCTTTATACATGTTAGCACCCCCTGTCATCAGGCCAAAAAAAGTAGCCAAGTGGCTTGCTGAGAAAAATATTGAAGCTTTACAGTGACCAAGGAACGATTTTTCATGATATAAAATGGAGGTCCATATTATTTTTGTGGGCACTGTGCGTGCTCATCTAGTAATTTAATTTGTTGGATTTAAGAAAAATACTGCTTGAGAAAGGAAGTCTCATACTGTAGTATAGAATTGTTGTTTTAAGGTATGAATCATATTTTTATTTGTCTAAACTGACAGTTATCACAATCTTTTAGTATTTATTTACTGAAACTGCTTGCCACTTAATAAGGATTTAATGAGTGACAAATAATTTCTTATTACAGTGGGAAATCCAGTGTGATTCATTGTCTAAAAGAGCGTGGTGTCACCGACTGGAATCGTTATGTCTCTTTTTGTTCCTTGCGTACACATGAGAACCTGGGAAATCATCCAGTTTCTGAACTAATCTACATCCACTCCAAATTGATGATTGTAGATGATCGATTTGTTATAGCTGGCTCAGCAAATATCAATGATCGCAGTCTTAATGGAAACAGAGACTCTGAAGTGTGTTTAGTCATTGAGGTAAGGTTTCCTTCTAATTTAATATTTAACTGTTACAGATTACTGGTTAGAGATTATCAACTAACATTGTAGGTAGGTCTTCTTTTATGTAGAGATCCTTAATATATTTTGCTACATTTCATGTCTTTCCCTAACAACCCCTCAAGGTAAGTATCTTGAGACAGGGAAGGGGCTCTTGATTCAACGTGGTGAACCTATCCTTTCCTTCTACCTATCCTTTCCTTCCTTGGATCATAATTAGTTGCCTTAAATACCTTAAATGTTATATGACCCCCATGGGATTAGCAGTTCCTACACTGAATATTTCTTGTCTTGTAGTACTCGGCTCTTACTACAGTATTCCACATACATTATCAATCCTAGATTTATGTATCAATCATGCTTAATGCATCATTAGATAGGCCTGTGAATACAACTCTAAATTTGATCAATTCTGCTGCTATACACAGCTTAAACTCCTTCCAGTTTCCTTGGAATTATTCAAGTAAGGTTTAGCTAGCACAGTATCATGACACCATTTATTATTGCCATGACCCACTGTATTTTGACCTTATATCTTGATAGGTTCATGCAGAACTTCATTTTGTTTAATATCTCTTGGTCAGGCACCCCTCCATCTCATCCATGGCTTTTATAAGAGATTATTGTTGACTTAGTTAAACTATTAGCTGATGAGTCATGAGATATTGATTCAGGCTGTCATAGTCAATTTGGCAGATAGGTTTATGAAGGATGAGGTAAACCATAGAATTGATGAAGGAAAAAAGGTGAGTGGTGTATTGAGGTATCTGTGGAGACAAAGAATGTTATCCATGGAGGCAAAGAAGGGAATGTATAAAAGTATAGTGGTACCAACACTCTTATATGGGTGTGAAGCTTGGGTTGTAAATGCTGCAGTGAGGAGGCAGCTGGAGGCAGTGGAGATGTCCTGTCTAAGGATAATGTGTGGTGTAAATATTATGCAGAGAATTCAGAGTGTGGAAATTATGACAAGGTGTAGAGTTAATAAAAGAATTAGTCAGGGGGTTGTTGAGGTGGTTTGCTCACTTAGAGAGAATGGATCAAAGTAGAATGACTTGGAGAGTGTATAAATCTGTAGGGAAAGGAAGGAGGGTAGGGGTCGTCCTCTAAAATGTTGGAGGGAGGGGGTAAAGGAGGTTTTGTGGGCGAGGAGCTTGGACTTCCAGCAAGCATGTGTGAGCAGATAGGAGTAAATGGCGACGAATGGTTTTTGGGACGACGAGCTGTTGGGGTGTGAGCAGGGTAATATTTAGTGAAGGGATTCAGGGAAACCGGCTATTATAGCCTTGGCCAGACTTGAGTCCTGGAAATGGGAAGTACAGGAGCCAGCTGACCACTTCATCATGAGGAGCCAGTCTATCAGCATCCTGTCGGCCAACATTAGAGGTTTCATTACTAATGTTGGAGAGCTCATACATAGTTTTGTGAACACTCGACGTCCCGACATGATAGCTGTTGTTGAAATATTTTTGGATGACAGGACTCCAGAAAATTTTGCAAGAATTGCTGGCTACATCTCATGGTAGTAGGTTGGTAGACAGCAACCACCCAGGGAAGTACTACCGTCCTGCCAGATGACTGTGAAACAAAAACCTGTAACTGTTTTGCATGATGGTAGGATTGCTGGTTTTCTTTTTCTGTCTCATAAACACGCTAGATAACAGGGATATCTTGCTACTCCTACTTACACTTTGGTCACACTTCACAGACACGCACATGCATATATATATATACATACATCTAGGTTTTTCTCCTTATTTTAAATAGCTCTTGTTCTTTTTTATTTCTTCTATTGTCCATGGGGAAGTGGAAAAGAATCTTTCCTCCGTAAGCCATGCGTGTCGTATGAGGCGACTAAAATGCCGGGAGCAATGGGCTAGTAACCCTTTCTCCTGTATACATTTACTAAAAAAGAGAAGAAGAAAAACTTTATAAAACTGGGTTGTTTAAATGTGCATGGATGTAGTGCGGATGACAAGAAACAGATGATTGCTGATGTTATGAATGAAAAGAAGTTGGATGTCCTGGCTCTAAGCGAAACAAAGCTGAAGGGGGTAGGAGAGTTTCAGTGGGGGGACATAAATGGGATTAAATCTGGAGTATCTGAGAGAGTTAGAGCAAAGGAAGGGGTAGCAGTAATGTTAAATGATCAGTTATGGAAGGAGAAAAGAGAATATGAATGTGTAAATTCGAGAATTATGTGGATTAAAGTAAAGGTTGGATGCAAGAAGTGGGTCATAATAAGCTTTGTATGCACCTGGAGAAGAGAGGAATGCAGGGGAAAGAGAGAGAGATTTTGGGAGATGTTAAGTGAATGTATAGGAGCCTTTCAACCAAGTGAGAGAGTAATTGTGGTAGGGGACCTGAATGCTAAAGTAGGAGAAACTTTTAGAGAGGGTGTGGTAGGTAAGTTTGGGGTGCCAGGTGTAAATGATAATGGGAGCCTTTGATTGAACTTTGTATAGAAAGGGGTTTTTAGTTATAGGTAATACATATTTTAAGAAAAAGAGGATAAATAAGTATACACGATATGATGTAGGGCGAAATGACAGTAGTTTGTTGGATTATGTATTGGTAGATAAAAGACTGTTGAGTAGACTTCAGGATGTACATGTTTATCGAGGGGCCACAGATAATCAGATCACTTTCTAGTTGTAGCTACACTGAGAGTAAAAGGTAGAGGGATACAAGGAGAATAGAAGCATCAGGGAAAGAGAGAGGTGAAGGTTTATAAACTAAAAGAGGAGGCAGTTAGGGTAAGATATAAACAGCTATTGGAGGATAGATGGGCTAATGAGAGCATAGGCAATGGGGTCGAAGAGGTATGGGGGTTTGGTTTAAAAATGTAGTGTTAGAGTGTTCAGCAGAAGTTTGTGGTTACAGGAAAGTGGGTGCAAGAGGGAAGAGGAGCGATTGGTGGAATGATGATGTAAAGAGAGTAGTAAGGGAGAAAAAGTTAGCATATGAGAAGTTTTTACAAAGTAGAAGTGATGCAAGGAGGGAAGAGTATATGGAGAAAAAGAGAGAGGGTTAAGAGAGTGGTGAAGCAATGTAAAAAGAGAGCAAATGAGAGAGTGGGTGAGCTGTTATCAACAAATTTTGTTGAAAATAAGAAAAAGTTTTGGAGTGAGATTAACAAGTTAAGGAAGCCTAGAGAACAAATGGATTTGTCAGTTAAAAATAGGAGAGGAGAGTTATTAAATGGAGAGTAGAGGTATTGGGAAGATGGAGGGAATATTTTGAGGAATTGTTAAATGTTGATGAAGATAGGGAAGCTGTGATTTTGTGTATAGGGCAAGGAGGAATAACATCTTGTAGGAGTGAGGAAGAGCCAGTTGTGAGTGTGGGGGAAGTTCGTGAGGAGTAGGTAAAAAGAAAGGGGGTAAGGCAGCTGGGATTGATGGGATAAAGATAGAAATGTTAAAAGCAGGTGGGGAAAATAGTTTTGGAGTGGTTGGTGCAATTATTTAATAAATGTATGGAAGAGGTAAGGTACCTAGGGATTGGCAGAGAGCATGCATAGTTCCTTTGTATAAAGGCAAAGGGGATAAAAGAGAGTGCAAAAATTATAGGGGGATAAGTCTGTTGAGTGTACCTGGTAAAGTGTATGGTAGAGTTATAATTGAAAGAATTAAGAGTAAGACGGAGAATAGGATAGCAGATGAACAAGGAGGCTTTAGGAAAGGTAGGGGGTGTGTGGACCAGGTGTTTACAGTGAAACATATAAGTGAACAGTATTTAGATAAGGCTAAAGAGGTCTTTGTGGCATTTATGGATTTGGAAAAGGCGTATGACAGGGTGGATAGGGGGGCAATGTGGCAGATGTTGCAAGTGTATGGTGTAGGAGGTAGGTTACTGAAAGCAGTGAAGAGTTTTTACGAGGATAGTGAGGCTCAAGTTAGAGTATGTAGAAAAGAGGGAAATTTTTTCCCAGTAAAAGTAGGCCTTAGACAAGGATGTGTGATGTCACCGTGGTTGTTTAATATATTTATAGATGGGGTTGTAAGAGAAGTAAATGCGAGGGTCTTGGCAAGAGGCGTGGAGTTAAAAGATAAAGAATCACACACAGGGTGGGAGTTGTCACAGCTGCTCTTTGCTGATGACACTGTGCTCTTGGGAGATTCTGAAGAGAAGCTGCAGAGATTGGTGGATGAATTTGGTAGGGTGTGCAAAAGAAGAAAATTAAAGGTGAATACAGGAAAGAGTAAGGTTATGAGGATAACAAAAAGATTAGGTGATGAAAGATTGAATATCAGATTGGAGGGAGAGAGTATGGAGGAGGTGAACGTATTCAGATATTTGGGAGTGGACGTGTCAGCGGATGGGTCTATGAAAGATGAGGTGAATCATAGAATTGATGAGGGAAAAAGAGTGAGTGGTGCACTTAGGAGTCTGTGGAGACAGAGAACTTTGTCCTTGGAGGCAAAGAGGGGAATGTATGAGAGTATAGTTTTACCAACGCTCTTATATGGGTGTGAAGCATGGGTGATGAATGTTGCAGCGAGGAGAAGGCTGGAGGCAGTGGAGATGTCATGTCTGAGGGCAATTTTGGTGTGAATATAATGCAGAGAATTCGTAGTTTGGAAGTTAGGAGGAGGTGCGGGATTACCAAAACTGTTGTCCAGAGGGCTGAGGAAGGGTTGTTGAGGTGGTTCGGACATGTAGAGAGAATGGAGCGAAACAGAATAACTTCAAGAGTGTATCAGTCTGTAGTGGAAGGAAGGCGGGGTAGGGGTCGGCCTAGGAAGGGTTGGAGGGAGGGGGTAAAGGAGGTTTTGTGTGCGAGGGGCTTGGACTTCCAGCAGGCATGCGTGAGCGTGTTTGATAGGAGTGAATGGAGACAAATGGTTTTTAATACTTGACGTGCTGTTGGAGTGTGAGCAAAGTAACATTTATGAAGGGATTCAGGGAAACCGGCAGGCCGGACTTGAGTCCTGGAGATGGGAAGTACAGTGCCTGCACTCTGAAGGAGGGGTGTT